TAAATATTGAAGAACACTAACGAGTGTGGACTAACGAGTTTATGTGCGTTTTCTGAGGTAAATATGATTACAAGCTGTTTAACTGACGTCTTTCTACGGTTGAAACGCTGATTGAGCGAATCAATGTGACATGATACGGATTTCGATAAGTTGTACTCTATCTTTAACACACTTTCAGATGCTCATTCATGTTTATTTGGCGTTGTAACTGCTATTATTAACCCGGAAGAGAGATCAGCGCTGCTGCTTCTCCAGAGCGATCTCACGCCACAGCGACAAAACACTATTTTCATGTTTTTGAATTTCTAAAGAAAATGGACGTAATTTGAAAATTGAGACTTTGTTTCATATCAATAGTAACAAAGGACAAAGATTAATGTGATTATTTTGCCGCGATACAATATCTCATTCATTCAAATGACACAGGATGACTAATCGATTCTTGAGATTTAAGAATCGATATCGGTTTGTAAAAATGAGAATCGATTAATATCGAGAAATCGATATTTATTACCCAGCCCTAGTTGTTAGCACTAACAGTTACTAAACTAGCAGCACGGTGGAGGAGCGCAGCTTACCTAACGTTAGTTTGTCCGGATTACTGTGTTCCCACTGTTTGCCGCCTTTATGATCTGCAGCTCCTGAACCCATCCATTAGTGAACTGCACATGCGACTCTAACTGTTCTGAGGTGTAGGCGCTCACACCACAAACAAGGTAGCCGACGTCGGTGCTCCAATCTTTGTTTGAAATTTCATAAGGATCCAAACCGTTGATAGTGCCTATTTTGTCCACATACCACCCAGATAGCAAACTGACATTGAATCAACGTGGAAATATGACATCGAAACAACGTTGATCTGACATTGTTTTGCTCATCGAATTAACGTTGAACCAACGTCAGACGCGTCATTCTTTCAAAACTAACGGAAAATCAACTTGAAATCAACGCGTTGTTTCAACGTTATGAAAGCAAACCAATTTCCGATTTTCATTTAGCTTTGAAGAATGCCGCGTCTGACGTTGGTTCAACGTTAATTCGATGAGCAAAATCAACGTTGTTTCAATGTCATGAGAGACGTCGTTTCCACGTTGATTCAATGTCAGTTTGCTGTCTGGGCAGTCCCTGGCTTCCCTTGTTAACGTTTCCTGGTATATTCCACTTCCTTTTAGGGATTTTAACATATATATTTTAAAACATATCTCTCAACTCCGCTTCTCCTCGTTCGACTTGCTGTTTGTTTACATTCACTAGCCTCCAACATGGCCGCCAAGCCAGTAATGACGTCACGACGCCCAAGCCCTATACTAGCATTATACTAGCGTTATAGGCTCAACTGTTTTTAGAGATAAAACTATTTACATTCGGCAATCATGAAAACACATCTCAGATAACGGTTGACTAGGTAACAATGTGTAATTAGACCAAAGGTTCATTTTGCGCCGGAGTTCTCCTTTAAACAAAGCAGTCTAAAATGAGGAACAACACCACAGAAAATAAGTGCAGTCCATAAAGCGTATAGCACACAATCATAGACAGATCTGGATTAGTTAAGGGCTTGTGCCTCAAGGGAAAGTTAATAAGCATACATTTGCCTTTATTCTCTCTTTCTGTTAAGTTTAGGCGTCACACCCTCTGAACAAATACACTTTAATGAATAGAAGTAGTTTTCCTGAGCTCCGAACCGTCTTCATTTCTCCTGTTCGTTTTCAGGGATTCCCAGTAGATTGCATTTTCACTTCACGTGACTCTGATAATTACTTGTATAGTCATAATTATTGAGTCATAACCCTAATTATCTAATTACATCATCACACAAATAGTGTATTTAAATAATGAAATGTCAGTCGTGCTACAGGACCAGCTGCACATGTGACATCAAATATACCCTGATATAATATTTTGCATGAATGGACTGTATTTCCTGACTGTACTATGACGGGATGGTGTATTAAAGCCTGGTTTCTGGGGAATATTCCTCAGTCTCTCTACTAATGTCTTACTGGGAAACATTACAGCTCATGTAAACGTGTGTGTGTGTGTGTGTCTTCAAAGCGCTGGTTGCGTGCTCGTTCTGCCGCCGGTGAGAGGAGACTCATGTCAAGGGTTTCTGTGCTTTATTTCTGAAGTCTCGTCTCCCTGAACGTTAAATGTTAATCAGTGTTTTGCATATTGAAACTGCGCTGTGAATTCAGCTCGGGGAGTTTCCATGTTCAGGATATTCAAAGCTTTGCCACGTTATGTTCCTGAACGCAGTAGAGCTGGTGGGCTTGGGTGTGTTTCAGAGGACATGTGTGTGTGGATGTGATCGAGTGTGATCTGGGTCAGAAGCAGAAACTGGTTCAGAGACTAATTTTATCACTTCCGGTCCTTTGTGTTTATTAGAACAGTCCTTACAATTGAGGACCAAATAAAGTGTTTCTTAAACATACAAACAGGTGTTTCTTCTCAAAGCACACAACAGCTGGGTACAGTGACTCCAGTGTGTGTGTGTGTGTGAGAGAGATTACCATAGCTTGAACAATGACAGCTGATAATGGAGAGAATGTGCACCCCTGCCCTTCCCTTCTCACCCAGAGGAGAGCTAACGAAACGAGGTCGGCTAGCACACCTCTACTGTTCCTAAAACTACCAGATCTCACTGGTTTTCATTCTTTTCATTAATTTTTTTTATGTGAAATGGCAGTAAAGAGGTGATTCTAGCATTCAAAGAGTTGTTTGGAGCCAAGCAGATGAAAAATGTTTCATTAAAGCAGCACATTAAACAAGAAATGAAACATAATCTAATAAAATAATAACCAAGGCATGTTTTTCCACACTGAGTGTTTAATGTCACATTTGTACTCTAATATATACCAATTAATAGTAAATGGCAGTAATTCTCATACTCAATTTCATCAAAAGTGTTTAGTCTGTAAGATTGTTTTAATGTTTTTGAAAAGTCTCTTCTGCTCATTTATGCATTTATTTGATAAAATACTGTAAAAAACAGTGAAATATTACTCCAGTGTAAAGTTTTAGATCAGTAAGATTTTTTTATGTTTTTAAACGAAGTCTCTTCTGTTCACCAAGGCTGCTTTATTTGATGAAAAAAAAAAAAATGACAAACAGTAATATTGTGAAATATTATGACAATTTAAAACGACTGTTTTCTATTTTAATATATTTTAAAATGTCATTTGAAAGCTGAATTTTCAACTTCATTACTGTTGCTGATTACTCATCAGTTTACAGTGTCACATGATCCTTTAGAAATCATTCTAATATGCTGATTTTATGCTCAAAAAACATAAATTATTATTTTCAATGTTCGTGTACCATTTTTTCCCCCCAAAATTCTATGATGAATAGAAAGTTTAAAAGAACAGCATTTATTTAAAATATTATCTTTTCTAACATTATAAATGTCTTTACTGTAACTTTTGATCAATTCAACTCATCCTTGATGAATAAAAGTATTTTCTAATTTCTTTCCCCCCAAAATAAAAAATAAATTCTTACTGACCCCAAACTTTTGAATGGTAATGATTAATGTTACAAAAGCTTTCCATTTCAGATCAATTCTGTTCTTTTGAACTTTCTATTCATCAAAGAATCCTGAAATAAAAATGTAAAAAACTGTTTTCAACATTGGATAATAATCATAAATGTTTCTTGAGCCTCATATTATAATAATTTCTGTAGGATCATGTGACACTGAAGACTGGAGTAATGATGATAAATTCAGCTTTGATCACAGGAATAAATTACACTTACACTATATATTCACATAGAAAACTGCTGTTTTAAATCATAATAATATTTCACAATATTACTGTTTTTTTTATCAAATAATTGCAGCCTTGCTGAGCAGAAGAGACTTCTTTTAAAAACATAAAAAATCTTACCGATCTAAAACTTTTGACCGGTAGTGTATATATTAAAGTGTAATGTATTCCTGAAATGTTCAGCATCATTACTCCAGTCTTCAGTGTCACATGATCCTTCAGAAATATGATGATCTGATGATCAAGAAACAGTTATGATTATTATCAGTGTTGAAGACAGCCGTGCTGATCCATATTTCTGAGGATTTTTTTTACAGGATTCTAGTAAATAGAAAGTTTAAAAAGAACAGCATTTATTGGAAATAGAAATCATTACTGACGCTTTTGATCAATTGAATGGATGCTTGCTGAATAAAAGTTTTATTTTATTAAATAAAAACGCAATGTCGGGACTTAAGTAATGATGGCTCAAATGAAGCACTGGCTGCTTTCGCACACACAGCCTCCACCGGCGAACAGGACTTTACAAACATACTGCTAAATAGATCCGGCATTAAAGCAGAGCGTTTCACTCAGATATAGGGAAGAAAAGACGATCACTACTGGTGTCTCATGCCCACTTTAAAACTTTGCTTTGGTTGTTTGAACAATGGGTTGAGGTGGGACTATCTGACCAATGGTACGTTTGAAGGAAGGGTAATAAATCTGAAAATTTATACATTTTGTTGCAATGTTCATTAGAGCCAGACCGATATATCGGCAGACCGATATTATCGTCCGATATTAGGCATTTTCCAAACTATCGGTATCAGCAGTTATAATGGCCGATAAATGTATATTTTAAAAAATAAAAACAGACGAAACACGCTTGAACCATGTCATGAGTGTTGGAGTTGTATAGTTTGTCCACCAGAGGGCACTCTACACCGTTCCTGTTGGCAACACTCGTTGAGTTGGTCACGAGCCATACATTGCTTGAATAACAATTAAAAGATCATCCCCATCAGTTCTCTTAACTCAAATAAGCATGACAACATTTGTGACTATCATGTCCAGTTTAAAAAAAAATAAATAAATAAATAAATAAAATATCGGCTGATATATCAGAATATTGGATTTTAAAACCCAAAAATATTTGTATCGGTATCGGCCTTCAAAATCCTTTATCGATTAGCTGTAGGCCAATGTCTTTTTTGTAGCTGATTGTCTTTATTTCCCTTCGGTCTCCCGCAGATCTGCAGTTCAAGGTGACCCTCACGGCCTCCGTGAACCCCCAGGCCTCCAATGACCCCGCTGAACTGCTCTGCCAGGTGCTCGACCTCCTCCACCTTCAAGATGGCCGCCTGGCCGTGACCTGGTCGTACTCCACAATCACGCCAGGAGACGTGTCCCAGAAGAAGATCGCGATAGCCTCTCTGAATGAGGAAGGAGCTCTGATCCCTGGGAGCGAGTACAAGCCGAGACTGGACAGCGGAGATATAGCGGTGAGCAGGAGAGAGTCCAACGTCTTCGTTCTGCGACTTCTTCAGACTCGAGACGCAGACATGGGCTCGTATTCCTGCGCCGTGAACGCATGGATGCCCACTCGGCAAGCCGGATGGGAAAAAGCGAAGGAGGTCCAGTCCACTCCTGTTTCTGTTCAGTGGACACCACAGAGTAAGCACTAGATCCCTTCCTTTTATTGTCCATTACATAGGGGTGTTACAATATATCGCAATACAGAAATCCAACAATATGTATCGTGGATAGTTCACCCAAGAGATTAAGGGCCAATCCCAATTCTACCCCTTACCCCTTCCCTTTCCCCTAGCCCTACCCCTTCGCCTTCCCCTTGACCCTTGAAACAGAGTGGCAATGCGTAGGGGTGAAAATATTCCCCTAAGAAATGGGACACCACTACGCCTCCGTTAAACGTCATTATAAGTCGTCGCTCGCGCCTACGTCACAGGAGATGCGCCGATGTTTATCACAACTTCCAAGATGCCGTCGACAGCTGCAGTTATCTCAGTCGCGTGGGTTACAGCTATTTTCTTGCATCTTGTGAAGTTCGCAGGAAACAACGGAGACGACGAAAATATGTTGCGGGACTATCGTTAGCAAACTACAGTAATTTTAGCGATTTTTTTACAAACGTTTCTGTGAAGAAACTGACCGTAAATATGAACACAATATTGAATGTAACATAAAGCAAATCATTATTTGTCGTTATAATACTTATTAAAGCCACAAATACTTAAATTTATGGTTCTCCTTTGTCGCTTGGGCAGCCAGCCTGGGTTAGCAGTGACACTTCTCATACCCCTTCGTTTGAAGTGTGCTCCCGAAAAATCTTCGTTTGAAGGGCTATCTGGCCCTTCACCCTAGCCCTCCCCCTCCAACCAAAAGAGAATTGGGACAGCCCTACCCCTTCACGTGGACGCGCAAAACGGAGGGGAAGGGGAAAGTGAAGGGGTAAGGGGTAGAATTGGGATTGGCCCTTAGGCTGAATCCCAATTCACCCCTTGGCCCTACCCCTTGTTTTCGAGTGTACCCCTTGGCCCTTAAAACGGAGTTACAAGGGCCAAGGGGTTGAAATATTCCCCTACGAAATGGAACAACCCTTCATGAGTCGTCGGCGATGGCTCTGCCGTTACAGGATTTCTCCATGACAACAACTGACAATCAGCGCAGCCGCTCTTAACTTTGAATAAACATGATGATTATAACATCCCTTCCTCGCAATGCATGACTTTTCTGATCGGAAAGGTAATTTATTATACCATTTCTTAATTTAAACGACGATAGTGTTATTATAAGAGTAAATAAAGTGCGTGGTGGAATCATCTGGTGCTAAATTTAAATGTTTAACCGTTTGCGATCCATCTCGCCGGTGATTTCCGATGCATTCCATTAACTTTCTTAGTCCTCCGTTTGGAGTGTGCCTCTGAAAAATCTCCGTTTCGAAGGCTATGTCGTTTCTGTCATTTCGAGGGCTACTACCCCTTCGCCCTACCCCTCGATCTCAAGAAGAATCGGGACACCCTACCCCTAGACGTGAACGCGCAAAACAGAGGGGTAGGGCCAAGGGGTGAATTGGGATTGAGCCTTAGTGTCAGTACTACATTAAATCACTATTGAATATCACTATCGTTACAAACCCTTCTATTACGTCTACTTTGATGAAGTTGGCCAGAAGTACACTCTAAGCATGTACATTTGAATGTGTTCGGCCCAGCCGGTCGCTCTCTCTTCATCTTTAGCCCATGAGCTCAGAGCTCCCAGCATCTGTGACCATTGCACCACTTTTGTCATGCTTTTACAAAGCATCAAAGCTTGCTGTTTGAAAGTGTCCTCTGTCTCTCGTATTTCAGCGCTCAATAAGGGAGTTTAATTGTGTCTGTGATGCCGTCTTCTCTGTGAAGACAGATTTAGCACACAATGGCCGCTCTGTCTGGGACTGGACCTTTTCCACTACACTTTCACTGAAGCTGTGCTCTGAAACTATATCTGATGATGATAAAACAAGAGTTGCTGATGCTTGTTTGGTGGCGAGCACCTGTAAGGTGTGATGGCGTCTGTTAGGGTTCTTTGTTTACCGTTTCTGGAGGAATCGTATGGCAGAAAGTTGTGAAATTTGGCACACTGGCTGAGGAATGTCTACACTTTCCTTATGGAGATTTTGGGATCGATCTCTTAAATCCACCAACAGCTCATTCCCTATGAACTTGCTGTGGTTATATTTTGGTGCTATTCCTACAAAGTTTGTCAAGTCTTTTACCAAAATATGGTCAGATGATCTTCAGATGAAGCATCTTACATTTTTAAAGGATTTCCAGTCAATCTCTGTCAAATGTGAATGGTGAGCAGTGGGACCCAGAGAATATACTGATGAGTGAGGGAAATACAGGAAGAAAGACTCAAACTTATGTTGTTTTTAAGGTGCAGAATGTTATACTTTTTATTCGTCCGTTGCACACACAAAAAAGCAGTTTACACGTTTCAATGTCTTTCGATTGCAAGCAACAGTGTGGCAGAGTACTTTCCTGTAACATAACATGCCACAATGTGAGATCTGTGTGTGTTGGGGAATTGGGAAAAGTAGCCTATTACCCTAGCTTAGAATATCTAGACGCACCCTAGCGGCAGTAAAAGTTATTTTGCAGCCAGTGTGGTCTAGCAACTCTCCGTTGACTTTCGAAGTGGAAAAACCAAACTCGGGTCAGGCCAATCACATCGTGTATAGAGTTGGTGGGCGTGGCATAACACAATGACTGCAGAGTTGTGACGGTTCTGCGCAGTGATTTCTCGTCTACTTGAAAACAAACAAGATGCGGCTGGCGAACAGCGGCCTTTCGAATCGGCTTTGGCCGCTACTCTGGAGGACTGGGGGTTAAGAGAACGTCACTTAAGTCATTTTTACTAAAGGAAGATATGTTAGGAGTTTTAACGAGCGGGTACGGAAAAAGTTCTGGTTGGTTGTAGTAGGGATATTGAAAGACAACCGTTTATCCCGCCCCTCGGATTGAGGTATGCCAATTGTGAGTTCCCAGACTTAACATCTTGATGTAGGTCTGGCTTGCCAGGCTACTATTACCCCACAGGGAGACTGAATCCAAGCCGACGTTGGCCAAACGAGTGCGTCTAGGCCGAAAAGCTGAGCTTGAACACTTCAGAAGGAGTGAAGGTGATTGTCAACTAGTGGAAGTACATCTCTGTCTGTATCAGCTGGTATCATCTATTCCTGTCATTCAAAGAGGGAAACCGAAACTAGGACTGTAGATACACGAGCTGTAAACAAAGCAGTGGTTGCTTTATCAGTCATTGTGATCCCTTTCTTCATTCCAATCGGCTCAGGCCATTATGAACATATTCAAATGATCTGGTGAAATATAATAACCGCCTTCTGTCTGTACCGTCGTCTTTGCTTGCTTTCGCTTTTAATCACGTGCTCTGATTCGTTGGCCAAGCTGAACAGCCAATCAGAGTTGTCTCTCTCACTGACGCCCTGGTTCAACATACTGATGTGGCCCAAAAAACCCCAACGGAGACTGACTAGAGCAGGGGTAGACAAGCTCAGTCGTAGAGAGCCGTTGTCCTGCAGAACTTAGTTCCAACCCTAATCAAACACGCCTGAACAAGCTAACCAATGTCTTCAGGATTACTAAGGCTATAGACAGGAGAGGTCTTTGTCAGTGTTGGAGCCAAACTCTGCAGGACAACGGCTCTCCAGGACCGAACTTGCCTGCCCCTGGACTAGAGCCAGCGGTGCGGATCTCAAGTCAAGTCAAGTCACATTTATTTATATAGCGCTTTTCACAATACAGATTGTATCAAAGCAGCTTGACAGTGATAACATGAAAGTAGTACAAAGTACAACACAGATCAATAATATTGTTGAATATTAAATATCCCCGACTAAGCAAGCCAAAGCAAGGCGACAGTGGCAAGGAACCAAAACTCCATTAGATTGGATGGAGAAAAAAACCTTGGGAGAACCCAGGCTCAGTCGGGGGCCAGTTCTCCTCTGGCTTACATTCATATTGTTTAAATATAAATATTAAATATAAATATTGTTTATGTATAAAACGGCGCCATAACATATCGCCAGCGTTGAGTCGTCTCTTCACAGGCGTTGAGTCGTCTCATCACAGGCGTTGGGGCATCCGAAATCCCCGTGAGAGGCTGGACACAAAACTGGACCTGACGAACGCCATTTTTCTCAGGACAACCGTCCCGAGATAACAGCAGAAAGGCAGATGGGAAATAATTAGCATAGCTGATGTTCATAATGATTTCCATTACATCGGAGTAGATATTAAAAACCACAATCTCACAATCTCTCCACAACCCAACCATACACACCGACCCGTTTAACTAAGGCTGTCGAGCCCCACGGTAATGCGTTCAGAGAAAACGAAGACGAACCAACTCTTGAAAACACCCTGACTCCTGACATCGCGGCTTCTTGGGACTGAAAAATCTGCATAGAAGGGATCGTGACAAAACATATCTTGCAGGAAGATCCATTGCATGTAGACGTCTACCTCCGAACAGGAGATTTAAACCAGACTGTGTGTCATTGCCACCATGTTGTGTGAGTTTGACAGTGCAAAAACAATGTGAGCATAAGAAAAAAGTATAACGTAATGCATTGAATTCATGTCGTCTCATATTGCTGGAGTTAAACCGAATTGATTGATTGATTTGTTCAATTTCCTGTCCGCCAACTCTTAAAATAGTTCTTTAGGTCTGTGTGACTGCCTCCCCCACTGGTCAGAGTTGCACGATCTGCTCTCAGTGTTTGAACGGCTCGGTCTGGAGTAGGGTCATGCCTTGCCCTCAGATGAGAACACAAACACACATCTGTCTGTTTTAGATGGGTAGAAGCTATGAGGGAAGTTTTAGGACTGTGTTTTTCAAATGTTTATTTAATGTCTTTTCAGTTCCAGTTTTGCGAGTAGTAGCCCATCGTGTGAGAGAAGCTTCAACCGGTGGATCCACGTTTGAGATGACCTGTCAGGTGACGGGCCAGAACCTGAGGAACCCCGGCTACACCGTTCTCATCCGCTTTGAGGAGACCTTGGGAGGCAAGTCCCGGAAAGTGCTGTCGCTCAGCCAGGACTCGGTTCTGCAGTCGGAGGAGTGGAGCGAGCCGAGCCGGGTCGACAGCGTGGTTCTGGAGAAGACCGGGCAGCTGGAGTACCGCTTCCGCCTCTACGGGGTCCAGGTCACGGACCGCGGCTTCTATTACTGCGACGTCACGGCCTGGACTCGGGATCAGAAACAAGAGTGGATCAAATCCGTCAGCGCCGAGTCCAACAAGATTGAGATTGCCTTTGTACACACAGGTAGGTACACACTGATAACTAGACTAGAGTACAGTGAGCTTTAACACTCAGAAGAGTGATGCTGAATTGGCTGTAGGTGTGTTTACTTCTACTTACTACAGTTTCTCACACACACTAATGCTGTAGTTCCCTCTGTCTGATTCTGGATGACTAGAGCTCTATAGTCTCTCCCTCAGGGCAGATTCCTGCTGCCCACAGAGACACACACACACACACACACTCTCTCTCTCGTTCATAGGCAGCTTTTTAAAACATCATAGACACTTCTGATGTGAAAGCTTGTTCCAAAAGCTGAACTAAAGCCAAATACGAATGCAAGATTGCATGATCCTTCACAATGAAGACTGTTCCTTGATGGAAAAAATAAATCCAACATGGCAGAGCAAACGAATGAAATGTTGATTATAGAGTGCTGCAGTGATGGCATAGTTTTGTAGAACCCAAAAGTTAGAATCACCCTGTTTTTTGTTTTTCATACAAAAATTCCACTATGGTCTGTGTCCAAACACATAATTATGATTCTTACACGTTGTGTTAACCTGATAACCTTCACAAATTAACTCAACTTTCATGAATTTTGACCTGTGGCTGACCTGTGGCTGACCTGTGGTTGACCTATGGTTGACCTATGGCTGACTTTTGGCTGACCTATGGCTGATCTATGCCTGATCTATGCCTGATCTGTGCCTGAGCTATGGCTGATCTGTGCCTGTTCTATGGCTGATCTATGGCTGACCTATGCCTGATCTGTACCTGAGCTATGGCTGACCTATGCCTGATCTGTGCCTGATCTGTGGCTGATCTATTGCTGATCTATGCCTGATCTGTGCTTGATCTATGCCTGATCTATGCCTGATCTATGCCTGATCTATGTCTGACCTATGCCTGACCTATGCCTGATCTGTGCCTGATCTATGGCTGATCTGTGCCTGATCTATGCGTGATCTATGGCTGATCTGTGCCTGATCTATGCCTAATCTATGGCTGATCCATGCCTGATCTGTGCCTGATCCGTGCCTGACCTATGCCTGATCTATGGCTGACCTATGGCTGATCCATGGCTGATCTATGCCTGACCTATGGCTGATCTATGCCTGACCTATGGCTGACCTATGGCTGACCTATGGCTGGGTCTTGAAAGCTTGCCCACCCTTTCAGGGAAATATATCATTCTTTTAAATACAGTTCCCTTGATGTTTAACAATTGTTTAATAATTATTGTAAATGTGTTTTTGTTTCGTCATGCATGCGGATGTCTAGAATAAGCACCCTTTTGTGTTAATAATACACATTTAAGAAGGAAACACATCTAGACAGAAATTGACAGGACGCTGTAACTACTTGACTCATTTGTCTGTTGAAAAAGCCCTGCGTCAATATTTCATTCACTGATAAAGTATCTGTGATAATAGCTCAGACTAATTAAAATGTACCCAACGTGTGTGTGTGTGTGTTCTGCACTTTAATATGCAGAGTATTGCATCATTGCAACTTTTCAAATCAATTGAGAGCTGAATCTCTCATGCAAAGCCCTATTACAATTTTCACTGTGAGTAATTTAACTAGTCAATCACTTTGAGATTCAAATTCGGTCAGGAAGCTGCACATGTACACAATAGGCTTAGAACCTTGGAACTCTCGCTCACTTTGGAACTCTATTTCTCTTAGAACCTTGGAACAGGCTCTCTCTCTCTCTCTTTGGAACTCTTTCTCTTTGGAACTTTGAAACTCTCTCTTTTACAAAGTTTTTTTCATGAATTAGAACAAAAGTATGCAGAAACTGATTTTTGAAATGTTTATAGAAGTCGTCTACATACACTTAAAAATGTTGTAATCTAGGTAGATTTTAATAACTGTGTGTGTGTGTTTCCCTATCTGCAGGTCCAGTGTTCAACATATCCATTCATTCAGAAGCAAACAATGTGTTACCAGGAGACACCGTCCAGATGAAGTGCATCATTTCCATACTGAACGCTTCTCCTAACACTGGCAAGTGCTGAGATACTACCATAATGAATATACATATAGAGTACAATAGTGGTTCTCTTTATCATTTCAAACCTTCTGATGTCTAATTCTAATTTCAAACAAATTTGATTTCATTTGATAATTTATCTAATCCAATGACATTGCATTTTAATTTTGGTTTATGTCCAAATATATACGTCTAAGTAATGAGAATGAGATTTTATTGTCCAGGAATTTATTTTGGGTTTTGGGTGAACTTGAATCTCCCTCACATTCTGCTTAAAGCACTGATGTAAGAGAATAACAGAACCTCAAAAGTAGCCGAGTGCTTTAACTATTTCAATTATTTAAAGTTTTTTTGTAAAACATTTTTTAGCTTTTGTCCAGTCATTAGTGTCTATGTTCTGTTCAGTCTTGACTGTAATCCGCTCTCTGGATGGCATGTTTTAATATCAATATCCAGGTTTAACTCTTCAGTTTATTCATCAGTCTTGGTTTTTCTTAAAGTCACATGTTGTTGCTCATGTTTTGTGGGTTTTTGCGGTTATCCACGGGCAATATTATAAACTAATGCCTCGAGTGGTAAATGATTACCTCGATAACTTCGCCCCTGAGTCACATCCTGTATCACGTCTTCACTTTTGTTGCTGTTGCTTAATAGTTTCTCATAAATTCGGTATGAGCTGTTACATGGAGGAGTAAATTGAAGTAATTCTTTATAATGTTTAAAGTGCTTGAACTTACTATTACTTATTGGTCTACTATTAAAAAAAAATAGGCATTTTGGCGTTTGTACACATATTTTTGGTGAAAATTTAAAACTGCTCTTATTAGTAGCTGAAAGCATAATCAAATGATCCACAGTCTATAATGAACAAACCGTACAGTGTGTAAAGTGTCATGAATGATGTCCTTGTGGTAAACTGGTACTCTCTTCAGATTTTGGCCGTCCGTCATTTAAAGTCGACATGAAACAGAAGCTGCTCTCCTCTTTTCTACCCTATTTTGACTTGGCGTGTGCGATACTGACAAAAATATCATCTCTGTTTCTCGATGATGATAATTAGTCAATGTTTTGCTGAGTGTGTTTATTGTGTTGGTACCTTGGCAGGTTTAGCACAGAGACTTTATGTTCTGTGAAGTTGTCTATTCAATTGTGAAGTTTCAGTAGATTTTTACCTTTTTATATGCATTTTATCTTTTATAAAGCCATTTTTCTAAACTAATTAAATGTATGCATCATATATTGCATCGAAATTCTTACATTTAATCAGTAAATTCTGAAAATTTTGAGATCGTTATTTAAAAAAATCATCTTTTACGGTTTAATGCAGCTCAGAGGGACATCAATGCAGTTAACCTGCAGTTACACATGCATGTTTTGATGTCTTAAACATTAAACGTTGAATATTGATATTTTTAAGTGATTTTTTTTTTTAATGTGAAATTAAAACTGCTAGTAAGTGGCAGCAAATCACTTTTAATAAGCGAGTCATTGAGTTTCAATTGAATGTTCGTCCTGAATCATCGATTTATTCAAACTGCTGATTCATTCAGGTCTAAATGAGTGAGTCATTAAATCAGTCATTCAACCGATTCATTCATTCAGTCACAAAACACATCTGTGTGTTCCTCAGAGATTGAACTATTTTCGTTGCTGAAATAGAGCAAAAACTGGTAATTGTGTGTCTGAAATGTAAGTAACTATTAAAAACTTTGAATTGTGTAAAATCAATATCATATTTGCAATAATGCTGATTTGGAGAAAAAGCAGCACTCTTTGTGTGATATTGATGAACTATATTTTGCCCCTTATCTTGAATATTGAGGACATTATAAATGCGTTTTACTAGACTAAATCACACAGTGAAAGTGTGCACTTTAAGTGTAGTCTAACCTACTAGACTACATCACGTAAACACACATAATGTCAGATCACACATATATAAAACAACAATCACGATATTATAGGAGTCAATATAACGCCAAATTGTGACACATCCAAGTGAAACCTTTGATTGTGTCTGTGGGGAATTGATTGGTTGTTTGGATGGATGTGGTTTGCTATTGGCCGATCTCATGTGAGTGACAGGTTGCCCCGCCCACATCATCAGAGAAGAGAAGAGATGCTGCAAGAGCTTGTTTAAAACAATAATGATGTGTGCACGAATAAATAGTGTAACAATATTGCACAAAACAATTAAAATAAACAATTTTGATTTCATGGTGACTTTAAAACACAACCTCTTGTTTGTGAATTGTTTTAGCTTATTAATTGTGATATCAACTTCCAAAAACTCGTATTAGTTCTGTTTGAAATAGTAGAAAACACACACATGACCTGCAAATCGACATAAAACACCTAATCCGAAACCTAATACACACACACACCCAGTACAGTAGCTGTTAGTGTGAGGAAGCGTGAATGGAGAGGGACGTTCAGGAAACTCTCCTGATTGGCTGTTTTGTCATTGATGTGGACAGACTAATTGCTTGTTGGTGGTGTATTGGCATGGCTCACATGAGGTGCAGTGTTAAGATGCAGTGTAAACCCTAAAACTGTTATTATGCTGCCTTTCAAGAACTGCAGTGTCCTATTGGGCGCATGTGTTAAGTGCTCCTGAACACGTTGAGGAACATACAGACCGTATCAGTCAGAAATGTTGCTCTCTTGAGGTTGAATGTTGGGTAATAAAGAGGCGAAGCGTTCCTCCGTCCTCCGTCTGAAGCCGCAGACAGGCACACACTTGCTGAAGTCATGTCAGCACAATGTTCACACTTCTCTCCTCAGTTCTAGAGAAACGAGAGATGTTTTTGTGCTGTTTTATTGTTCTGCTTCTGAAAAGATTGTCGCCCTGAAGGAAAAGGTTTCTGTTCCCATTGTGTTTCTTTAAGTGTAATCCCCAGGGAGTCGAGCAGCAGCAGACCGAACAGTGTCTCGGGGGATTTGTGTTTTTAAAGAGCAGTTCCCCGAAGAATGAATCCTCAGTCATCATTTACACATCCGTGTTTCACTCAATCCGCTCGTATTTCCTGTTGGACAGCCCACATGACTCATACACATTATTCCTAGGCTTCTGAAGCCGCACAGGACGTTGTGTTTGAGGAACATGAAGCAGTCTAATCATTAACTCACCCTTGTTTGAACTGCATTGATATCCAGTTCATGGACTTAAAGCTGCAGTGTGTAATTTCTCGCAGCATCTAGTGGCGATGTTGTGAATTGCACCCAGCAGAAGTTACAGTGGCCGACAGGAAGTGATGTCGTCTGAGACAGCAGAGAGTCGCCAGTTTAGGTTTCTTTACAAAGATAAATTAGGGAATTGGGTTTAGTTAATTATTCAGTAAAACAATGTTTTTGCGAATATTATTGTAACGTGTTCATCATCGTGTCAGTTTGGGCTGTCAATCTTCCTCTACAATACTATTCGAATTCCATTCCTATTTAATATTCAAATAATATTTGAATATTAAATGCTAAAATTTATCCTATTATTAATATTTAACGACATTATACGTGCTTACGGATGGCCAATGCCACTATAGCATGTGGTTGTTACACGTTCAGTCCACTAGAGGGACATCTAATACATATTTTATTCATGCTGAATATGGTTGAAGCGCTTCCGATGGTTTTCGGCTGATATCTCCGCGAAAACACCACCAAAAATATTGAAACTTATATCGTTCTTTTCAGTTCCACTAGACGGTTCCAACAAGCTCGATGCGCAGCGAATCCGTTGAGATATTTGCGTTTTTCGCTTCACAGGGTGCGTTAAACATTTAGGGTATTTTTTTTGACAGTTGTTATGATGATACACCATGGATAACGTGCACACTTGTGTTACGATTCGAAAACTTTATTGTTCATCAGACGAAACAAAGGCATTTCATTTTCACGTGCGTGTAAGCCAAGGCGGCGAAAAGGCAAGATTGCATATAAAAGGACATTTAAAAAATATACAAAGCAATATTCGAACAGTAACTTAAGCATTCGAATAATATTGATTTTTTTTTTTTTTTCAATATTCGAATTATATTCGAATTTCGGAATTCGTTCCAACAGGCCTCGTGTCAGTGTTTTATTCGCTGACTTTAGTTTCTATACATGAAGAACAACATTAGTGACGAAACGTGTTTGTAAGGCGATTCGCGGTGTGTGTAGAGAGAAATGGCTCGTTCTAAGCTAATAAACGCATAACGGTTCATTAAGTGAGGTCTTCATTCACCACTGAACACAGTTATGTATATGATATTGCATTTCTGTAACAAATCTTCCTGTATATCCCACAATGCACCTTTAATAAAGACATTCCTCAGAATATCTTCTTTTATGTTCCACAGAAGAAATAAAGATGCAGTTTAGTTGCAGTAAAAGCCTGTTTACTTCGGGAATTAAAGGGGAACTTGGCAACTCTTCGCTGATTTCCATTTTTGTTGTGGCATGTAAAAAAAAAAAACACATAATAGTTGGGAACGACGTGTTCACCTCGCTTTGGGGGAACTATTCCTCTACAGCTAGTGTGAAATCACATTACAGTGTTTAATTTTTAATTAAACTCATAAATCTTAATGCCGCATTGCTTGTTGTTGCGCTCAGGCTGACTAATGTCCTCGGTAATGTATCGGAGAACATGTGCTCGCGGTGAAGGGGAGCGAGGGCCGGGAGAGGAAGGGACCCGCGAGGACGAGCTGAACCCGAAGCGAGAGTCAGCGCTGCTCGCCCGCTCTTCTGTTCTGCAGAAAGAACACCGTTTTAAGGCTCGTTTTGGCCTAGTTGTGTTCAGTGGTGGAGAATAAGGCCAGCGCGGCTCCCTTAGGCCTCGGCTCTGAGAACACACTCTCGGATCAGAAGCAGTCCTGCGCTAACTACTGAGGCTATGAAGCAAACTTTTTTTACTTTGAAAACAGGATTTTTATTTATTATTTAGGCATTTGCAATGGTGAGAGATGTTTTGTGGCTATGAAAATCTCTTTGTATGCGCATAAAAATATCTCTTTTCTCAAGGCAGGCGTTTGAGGTGTGGGAAACGCCACACTAGTGGTCATTTGTGTGTACTCTCATAAAGGGCTGAAACGATTAGTCGACAATAATAAATAAATATCGTTGTTGTCGAGTAGTCGTTTGATCTCACTTGACCTTATAAGGGCGTGCAATATCGCGATTTGACCGCTGTGGCGCTAGAGTGTAATGCAGCCCTTTACAAATGCTATTGCGGTGAAAGAAAAACAGCGAGTGTAAATGAATCCGAACTAGCAAGGTTTGGGAAAGTTTCACAAAACTTAAAACCAACAATGCTGTCATTGTAATACATTTTATATTTATAATAATGGTTTGCAGATTAATATTTTACCATTCTTTGTGTCCTGAAGTAAATATCCCTTTTCTGTTTCAGTTCTAAGAAAAACAATGCAATGTAGAGAGCATTTGTATGTGGACCGAAATCTGAAAAACTTAAAGAGAATGACCTGTTAAAGGGTTAGTTCACCCAAAAATGCTCGCCCTCATGTTGTTCCAAACCTCTATGAGTTTATTTGTTCTGCTGAACACAAAGGAAGATATTTGGAAGAATGTTGTAATCAAACAGATCTCAATCCCCATTGACTACCATAGTAGGAAAAAATACATACTATGGTAGTCAATGGGGATTGAGATCTGTTTGATTAAAACATTCTTCCAAATATCTTCCTTTGTGTTCAGCAGAACAAATAAACACATAGAGGTTTGGAGCAACACGAGGGCGAGTAAATACTGACAGAATTTTCATTTTTGGGTGAACTAACCCTTTAAGTTGGCTCAAAGTTCATTAAAACAATTATTTCAAAAGCTGAACTGATTTTTTTTTAAATATATATTATAGTAAGAGTATCTATAACTCAAGGTTTTAACTAATTGAAAAAGCTGAATAATTGTTAGCGGGGAAAATAATCGACGATTAGTCGATTAATCGTTCTAATAATCGTTAGATTAATCGATTATCAAAATAATCGTTTGTTGCAGCCCTATAAAAGCAGTGATGCTCAATTCAGCCCGCATCTGGCCGGTCATCGCATTACCATTAGAAGCCGTCATGAAAAGAAAAGCCACACTTATCCAGTAATTGTAGGAATCAGTCGGCTCAGCCAGTTGTTGTCTACCCTATATATTTAGACACATATATATATATATATATATTCGGTTGAAATGACTAATCGGGTCCGGTGCTTCTACCAACCCAGAGAACATGAGAAGTGAAACCCAGTAACTTAGTTTAGTTAAGCCTTTCTCTGCAAACATGTCAGAAAATGTCATTAATCTGCACGTTTACACACACCAGCCGGCAATTGGTTTCGCAAGCGACTTCGGAGACCAGCACGGGTTATTCCTGATCCTAGATCAGTGAGACTGGTGTGTTTGTTATTGCTGGAGTTTCTGAAGCTCGTGTAAAGACTCCGCCCTCATCTGAATGGAGGCGGAGCTACAGCTCATTTGCATTTAAAGGGACACACACAAAAACAACGTGTTTTTGCTCACACGCCCAAAAAGGGGCGAATTTGACGAGCTAAAATAAATGATCTTAAGCTGAAATTTCACAGACGCGTTCTGGGACACCAGATCTTGTGAAAAGGGGCATAATGTCGTCACCTTTAAGCCAGTGTCAAACTATATCAATATCAAGCTAAATATATAACTAAAAAATTCTAAAATTGTCCCGAACTCGGATATAAATATGACGGTCATATGGATCTTCACATGTTGTGCAGTTCACATGGGAGTCTTGTAGTTCTCCGCTGGGTTGTGAGTGGCGTATCAGAGTGCTGTGGTGATGGTGGTTGTCAGTTTCTGATTACCCAACGGCCTTCATTGAGATTCCTCACATAGCAGAGCGTCCGGCGTGTCCAGGCCTGTCTCCTCACAGCAGTTTGTGCAGTGCTATTCAACCACTTCACACACACTCTTTAGCTTGGTTTACTTTCCATACACATCATAGATACACTTGTGGTTGTGGTAAATGTACATGAATAATCTGCAGCAATCTGCGGCGCGGGTGTTTGAAGTGCTGAAACACATCGCCTGTGTACAAGAGCGTCGAATCCACTCGAGATACACCACCTGTCACAAGTTACGAGTAATTATGATGTTCATAAATGCTTTAGAGAGAATAAGTCTCTTCTGCTAACAAAGGCTACATTTATTTGATCAAAATACAGTAAAAACTGTAAATTATTACAGTTTTAAAATTATTCCTGTGATGAAAGCTGAATGTTCAGCATCATTACTCCAGTCTTCAGTGTCACATGACCCTTCAGAAATCACTCTAATATGAGGATCTGATGATCAAGAAACAGTTATGATTATTATTAATTTTGAAAAAAGTTGTGCTGATCCATATTTTTGTGGAACTTGATACATTTTATTTTTTAGGATTATTTGATGAATAGAAAGCTCAAAAGAACAGCATTTATTTGTTATGGAAATCTTATGTAACATTATAAATGCTGGTCAATTTAATGCATCCTTGCTGGATAAAAATAAATAATTGTTCAATGTTTAGCAGCACAATATTGATAATCATCATACATGTTTCTTGAGCATCATATCAGAGTGATTTCTGAAGGATCATGTGACACTGAAGACTGGGGTAATTGTTTTGCATTCACAGGAATAAATTACATTTTAAAATATTGTGAAATCATTACAATTTAAAATATCGGTTTTCTATTTTCTTATATTACTGAAAAATATTTTATTAAAAAAAATGTTAGTCATATTTTTTTCTTGCTAATTATTCTAAACTTTTTCACTTTAGTGTACCTCTCATGAATAAAGAGCCCATTTGACTTCAATAATCAAACACATTTCTGAGTAAAATGTTTTGATTGAATGACAAAATTTGCAGAGCAACACAATTCAGTGTGTTTAAACGTCATTGTTTCCCATGTTGAATTGAGCGGTTTCCCCACAGGTGATGTGGCGTTTGACGTGCGCTGGTTCCAGGACTCCGGCTGGGCCGTGGATAACGGAGGAGTGTCGCTCGTGAGTATGGACCACTGGGGGGTGGTGAAGAAGAGCTCCAACCACAGCAGCCTGGAGCGCACCGACCGCCACACGTTTGTCCTCAGCCTGCACAAGACTCAGGACAGGGATGCGGGAGAATACCACTGCAGAGCCACTCCCTGGCTCCTGTCCCCCGCCACTGGAGCCTGGAGCCGCGGGGAAGAACTCACCTCGACGTCCACGTTCCTCTCCGTACAGATGCAATGTAAGATCCTAAACGGAATCTGGTCTAGGGATGGGATTGTTAAAGGGGTCATAAAATGCATTTTCAGATATTGTATTACAATTCTGGAGGTTAGTTTACTAAGTTTAAAGAGCCCCTATCATAGCATTTGAAATGTTCCTATTTTTGTTTTAGGAGTTCCCAAAAACAGTTTAACGTGCATGCAAGGATAAAAACACTTTATTTGTCTTATAATATGCATTTATTTTTAACTGATTTGCTCACCGACTCCCAAATGATTCGTACAACGACTCATTTTTCCAAACCACTCCTTTGCGTGACGCTAATCGGCGGTGATTGGTCAGATGACCCAGTCAGTTGTTTGTTAGCATAACGCATAAACATATTGATAAAGCACTGCAGTACTACAAGACGCTCTATTCTTTATGACAACTCCAATAACAGCGACAAACATTTCACATATTTAAAAAAAAATTGACATTGGAGACCTCGAAGCTGCGCTGAGCATCACACACACACAGATACACGTGCACACACATACTACCTCGCGCCCGACGCAACAAAACCGTTCAAAACCCATAAAAGCAACAATTATTAATAATACTTACAGGTTGTGATTCGAAGGAGGAAGCTGATCCATATACACTGGGTAAGTTACTGAGCCCTCCTTCAGGAACAACCGCTTGCGAATCCACATTTGAATTCATTTATGTTTTTGAACGATTAATTAAAATGATGAGAACCCAATCGGGCTATACTGTTGTGGTATTGTTGCAAATATGAACTCTGACCACCGATTCTTCACATGCTCGTCCCTGGTAAATGAAAACAAAGTGGCTGAACTATCTTTGCATTGTAGAACACAGCGTCTTCTCGACATGATGCTATGATGAAGTATTTGAATGTGTAGACTTCAAGTTTACACTTCGGCCATTATGTATCTACATCACGACTAACCAGCTAATGACTCGTTTCAAAAACAATTCATTTCATAGACTCAGAGTCGACTCTCACTTTTGAAAGACAATAACTTTATGTACGGTGCACTTTCAGATCTAAATCTTTGCAGGATGTTTTCTCATTCCCTTAGAGCTATATTCCACACCATATGAACAGTCATTTTCAAAAATCCATGATAGGGGCTCTTTAAGAATGGTAATTTTCCATCCTTGTTTTCACTCGGCCACACACTTCCTCTTAAGAGGTGTTACGGCAGTTCATCGCACCATATCCATGCCCTCCCCCTCAGCACGTGTCATGTATGTTTTGACATTCAAGATGGAGAACGCTGTAATAGATCCGTGTGTGTTTGAGCCAGAGTCAAATTAAAACGAACCAATGCAACCACAGCGATTCCCCCCGAGGACAAACTATTTGACACTGCCAGAGCTTTCGATACAAAATATTTAGGAGAAAGCAGCAGCATGTTGAGTAAAGTCCCCCTGCAGTTTATATCTGTATCCCTTAAAACTCATCTTTGATCACCAAAGTGACGTATTTAAAGGTTTTTTTCCTTGAATTTCGTGATGCCTTAAAATACCTTGAATGTAGCTCGACACCCTTGCCTCATTTAGTATGCACGGTTCTATTTATATGCAAATGAGCCCCGCCTCCACTCACTCACTCATTGACTCATTGATCTGATTGGTTACAAGGTCGTTTGTGACGTCAGAAACACCAGCAATTTCAAACAGTCTTTTTGAGACTGTCTTTGGTTCACTGCAGTTTTAAGGAGGAAATACTTTATGAATTTACACATGGTTTGTCTTAAAGCATATTAAAAACACCACATAGACATATAGGCATTTTGATTTGCCATTTCATGACCTCTTAATTCTGGTTCTGAATCTGATTCCATTAATAAGAATGGTTCCTTAATCAAACTGTTACAGCTTAAAGAAATAACCTGTACGCTGATGTTTTTCTATCCAACACAGTTCATAGTCTGTCAAAAAAACAACATGAAATCACCATAATAGTTGCATAAATGCACTATTTGCCAAGGTTTTTTAAAACTTCAGTATATTTCTGTGAGAAGTAGCTATTACTTTCCACAGTTGATCTTGTAGTGGTAATTCCCACCCTAAACAAAAATGTGAACATTTACTTGGACAGCATATCTAACTTTATGCATGCAATGCAAAACTTAATGGAAACAATCGCCGGAAAGGGTCAAAAATAGAGGTTATGGAGAAACACATGGGAAGATGGCGATACTGGAAACACTGTCTTCCAGATCCACTGGCCTGTTGCAACCACAAATCTCCCTGTATCGTCCTGACCTCTGTAAGATACATTGGGAAGAGGGTGAAGTGAGCCAGCAAGTAAAGACTTTCTGGACTGCACTCTCGTCAGAGTAGTCTCAGCTTTATTAGTTTGGGTCTCACAGAAGACGAGTATAATGAGACGGCTCTGGCTCTAGAGATCCACTGTCCTGCATTCGATCAAGCGAATCAAGGTCTCCAGGATCAGCAGAGATCTACAGGCAGCTGAGTTTGATCAGAGATGGAGCTAAAAGAGGATCTCGAGTTGCCCAGATCTGCTCATGTACTGTATAGACAAGGGCTGAATCTGAAATCGTCCCCTATTCCCTCAAATAGGGCATTATTTGAAGAGACAGACATTTGTAGTGGTGTCTGAAGCCATAGTGTCCGCTCATTCTATCCCACAATGCACCGCAGTATCGGTGTATAGCTGATGTATGCTCCACGCCTGTCCGAATTCACTCACTCTTATTCATTCACTTCTTCAAGTGAACTATATTAGTGGACTAGCGTAAGGAATAGTGATTGGGGGTTTAGGGGGCTATTTTGGATTCAGCCCAGGAGTGTCCAATCCTGCTCCTTCCAGAAGAGTTTAACGTCAGCTCTGATCAACACACCTGAACCTGGTCTTCAGATGACCAGAAACTTCCAGTCAGGTGTGTTGGAGATAAAATCTGCAGGAGCAGGATTGAACACGCAAATTACAGGCCACATTTACACATAGCCGGTTATTTACAGAAACAAATATTTCCCTCTCTCCGTTTTCAGTAACATTGTGCACTCAACCTCGTTTTAAAAAAAGCTGTCATTTACGTCGACCCGCATAAATACGCCGTTGAGAGCCATCATAACTATGTCAAATTTTTTAAAATTTCTTCAATGTAAAGCACTTTGAATTACCATTGTGTATGAAATGTGCTATATGAATAAACTTGCCTTGCCTAAATCCCCGTTTCTCCCAGCAACACATAACCAGCGCGTTATCAGAAATCTCCACTTTGGCCGGAGTTTTTAGAAATAATCCTTTTCTGTGATTAAAAACGAGGTTTTCGTCTAAATGAGAGGCCAAACCAAAGGGAAATATCTGTGTCTTCCCTCTTTGTAAACGGGGAAATAGTTGGACAGCCAACTATCAAGCACTAGATGAAGGTCTCCACGGTGTCCACTATTAAAGCAAGCTTAGGAGGAGCATCCGGGGATGAGGATTTCTGAGGACTTCTGGGAGTCTGCCATGATTTGTTGCCAAGTGTTCACACTGTCCCAACAGATACAACAAACCTCAAGTCAGAATGTCTTTACGTGTAATTTTTCGCCTAAAAACGTATAAAACGAAAGGTTGAGGGTGAAGCCGTGGTTGCTGCGACACGAAAGAGTTGAATTTATGCAGAGAACTGCAATTGATCTGGACAAACTGTTTCATTAGATTAAATACTCCAGCTCTGATATGTTTATTGTTTATGCTAAAAGTCAGTTGCAGTGATAGCATTTATTTTCCTTACATATATGTCAGGAGTGCAAAATAATCAATTCATAACTTGTGATATTCTCAAACACATTCATTTGTCACACAACTGCACTGAACTGCGTCGGTTAGGGCTTTTAGTCCAAAAGTGTGCATTCTTGAAGAAATCTGATTTAAGAACACTGGCAACGCACTGATCGGACAAACTCTGACAGACATGTCTTTGCGATGTGAATTGACCCTTCGCAGGGAGTTTGATTGACAGGCGATCTGACCAATCATAATCCCCCATCCGCCGAATCCACCATTTTTGTCTGACAAAGCAGGCAGGATACTTAGATTAACGTCAGTGGATTTGAACTTTAGAAACGGTGTGTATTGACGTTTTTTCCGCGGTTAAAACAACATTCCTTCTGATGTTCATTCATGAATTGGCCATAAAACTACGACATATCTTCAGAAATCTACATCCCCAGTCGCTCCTCCCAGACATTGCGTCCATAGCTGAACTCGCCTCCTCATATGCTGTCGAAAGCAATACCCACTTTTGAAGGCTCAGAATATGTGCATTTAATGATGAAGAATCTTGAATACCACATGTTCCCATATGTGTTTGTCATCATAAGCATTGGTGTTTGACTGTGTGTGTTGTCCTGCAGTGTGGGAGTCTCTGAAGATGCCGGTGGGATACGGTGTGTTTGCTGCTGTGATCGCTGGGGTGCTCTCAGTGCTGCTGGGTCTACTCGTCGCACACTGCTGTTTCTCCAGGAACCCCATGCACACGCCTCGCCCCCGAAACAAGCTCATGGACCTGGAGATGGACTAAACCAGGCCTCCGTCCCCGACCCTGCCCAAAAACACTTCAACCAACTCTGGGACTGGATGTGGATATGCACATTGCTTAACACGAGACGGAGAACCTGATAAAATGCAATCCGAGGATTGAGCCACGGCTCCATGTTCCAACTCGAGAGCAATACACTTATTATTCTCAAGAATAAAGCACTGACGGCCCCATCCAAGGTTTTTTTTACCCCCTTGTAACTTATAACACATTCTGATTGCTGATAGGATGAGAGCATCGGGAATGAAAACTGTCGTTCGGTACAAACATGTGACTGCACTATGACCAAGCCAGCGATGTTTGAGTTTGTACAGTTGATTTGAGCAATTAATAGGAAGGACTCTAAGGAAAGAGCCAGGAATCTCTCAGTTATGACTGTGGCAGAGACTGAGCTTTTAAACCGCTGCAGTCCCGGAGGATTGGTGTGTCACGTCCACTGTGACCCTGCCCGTCTGTCAAGAGTTATGAACCTAACATGACTGAGCTTTCCTCTCAGCGGCGCAGCGTAGCGTTGATCCACGGGATGGCTGATGGACGGCTGCATCCGTCTGGGATCCAGAAGGGAGCACTCGAGGGAACGGACCCAACTGACCGCCAATCCCCGCTCGTCTTCCCTAAAGAACGCTTGTCTGGCATTTCAAAGGCTCTGATAACTGATACCAACACACTGTTGGCATTAACTGTTTCCTCACTCTCTCTTTCCTGCCCACAACAATGAGAAATATCCGTATCCATCTCAGTTTCCTTGCATTTTCCCCCTCTTGTCAGAATCCACTCATTATGCCGATTCTCGCGCTGCTGACCCGCACTGCCACTCCTCCTGTCTTTCTGATAAGGGAAGTGTGTGTGGAGAGTTTCCAGCTCTTCAGAGACTCATTTATAGACCAATGTCTCCAAGATGATTTACTTTTATATACAGTAGTTCTGTTATGGATATTAAAATGTTTTTTTATTTGTCGCTTTATTTTAAATTGTGTGAAATTTTATGCGCTTTAACCATCTTTTTTTTTTTTTTTTGCTAAGAGGAAATAAGTATTTTCTGTTGATCAGTGACTCATCCCAGTTTTCAATGGCAAACCAACAAAAGTGTATTTCTTAATAAAACTAAACTATAACACTGTGTTGACTTGAGCTCTGTTTATCTCAAATCCGTCGAGAAGCGTCTGGGGAATGCCTCCGTCTCCTTTTTAAATTTTTTTGAAGATTTGTTTTATATGCATAAAATGCAGTCACATTTCTTTCCTTTCCTGATGACTAGCACTTTCTCATTTCATTTCAGTTGTACTTTCCTTCATCTTCTCTTCTTCTGGTCGTTGTCCTCTTTCCTTCATCTACTCTCCTTCTGGTCGTTGTCCTCTTTCCTTCATCTTCTCTTCTGGTCGTTGTCCTCTTTCCTTCATCTACTCTCCTGGTCGTTGTTCTCTTTCCTTCATCTTCTCTTCTTCTGGACGTTGTCCTCTTTCCTTCATCTACTCTTCTTCTGGTCGTTGTTCTCTTTCCTTCATCTACTCTCCTTCTGGTCGTTGTCCTCTTTCCTTCATCTACTCTTCTTCTGTCCGTTGTCCTCTTTCCTTCATCTTCTCTTCTTCTGGTCGTTGTCCTCTTTCCTTCATCTACTCTTCTTCTGTCCGTTGTCCTCTTTCCTTCATCTTCTCTTCTTCTGGTCGTTGTCCTCTTTCCTTCATCTTCTCTTCTTCTGGTCGTTGTTCTCTTTCCGTCATCTTCTCTTCTTCTGGTCGTTGTCCTCTTTCCGTCACCTTCTCTTCTTCCGGTCGTTGTCCTCTTTCCTTCATCTACTCTTTTTCCGGTCGTTGTCCTCTTTCCGTCACCTTCTCTTCTTCCGGTTGTTGTCCTCTTTCCTTCATCTACTCTTCTTCTGGACGTTGTCCTATTTTCTTCATCTTCTCTTCTTCTGGTCGTTGTCCTCTTTCCTTCATCTTCTCTTCTTCTGGTCGTTGTCCTCTTTCCTTCATCTACTCTTCTTCTGGTCGTTGTCCTCTTTCCTTCATCTACTCTTCTTCTGTCCGTTGTCCTCTTTCCTTCATCTTCTCTTCTTCTGGTCGTTGTCCTCTTTCCTTCATCTACTCTTCTTCTGTCCGTTGTCCTCTTTCCTTCATCTTCTCTTCTTCTGGTCGTTGTCCTCTTTCCATCATCTTCTCTTCTTCTGGTCGTTGTCCTCTTTCCTTCATCTACTCTTCTTCTGGTCGTTGTCCTCTTTCCTTCATCTACTCTTCTTCTGTCCGTTGTCCTCTTTCCTTCATCTACTCTTCTTCTGGTCGTTGTCCTCTTTCCTTCATCTTCTCTTCTTCTGGTCGTTGTCCTCTTTCCTTCATCTACTCTTCTTCTGGTCGTTGTCCTCTTTCCTTCATCTACTCTTCTTCTGTCCGTTGTCCTCTTTTCTTCATCTTCTCTTCTTCTGGTCGTTGTCCTCTTTCCTTCATCTTCTCTTCTTCTGGTCGTTGTCCTCTTTCCTTCATCTTCTCTTCTTCTGGTCGTTGTCCTCTTTCCTTCATCTTCTCTTCTTCTGGTCGTTGTCCTCTTTCCTTCATCTTCTCTTCTTCTGGACGTTGTCCTCTTTCCTTCATCTACTCTTCTTCTGGTCGTTGTCCTCTTTCCTTCATCTTCTCTTCTTCTGGTCGTTGTCCTCTTTCCTTCATCTACTCTTCTTCTGGTCGTTGTCCTCTTTCCTTCATCTTCTCTTCTTCTGGTCGTTGTCCTCTTTCCTTCATCTACTCTTCTTCTGGTCGTTGTCCTCTTTCCTTCATCTTCTCTTCTTCTGGTCGTTGTCCTCTTTCCTTCATCTTCTCTTCTTCTGGTCGTTGTCCTCTTTCCTTCATCTACTCTTCTTCTGGTCGTTGTCCTCTTTCCTTCATCTACTCTTCTTCTGTCCGTTGTCCTCTTTTCTTCATCTTCTCTTCTTCTGGTCGTTGTCCTCTTTCCTTCATCTTCTCTTCTGGTCGTTGTCCTCTTTCCTTCATCTTCTCTTCTTCTGGTCGTTGTCCTCTTTCCTTCATCTTCTCTTCTTCTGGTCGTTGTCCTCTTTCCTTCATCTTCTCTTCTTCTGGACGTTGTCCTCTTTCCTTCATCTACTCTTCTTCTGGTCGTTGTCCTCTTTCCTTCATCTTCTCTTCTTCTGGTCGTTGTCCTCTTTCCTTCATCTACTCTTCTTCTGGTCGTTGTCCTCTTTCCTTCATCTTCTCTTCTTCTGGTCGTTGTCCTCTTTCCTTCATCTACTCTTCTTCTGGTCGTTGTCCTCTTTCCTTCATCTTCTCTTCTTCTGGTCGTTGTCCTCTTTCCTTCATCTTCTCTTCTTCTGGTCGTTGTCCTCTTTCCTTCATCTACTCTTCTTCTGGTCGTTGTCCTCTTTCCTTCATGTACTCTTCTTCTGGTCGTCCTCTTTTCTTCATCTTCTCTTCTTCTGGTCGTTGTCCTCTTTCCTTCATCTACTCTTCTTCTGGACGTTGTCCTATTTCCTTCATCTACTCTTCTTGTCGTTGTCCTCTTTCCTTCATCTTCTCTTCTTCTGGTCGTTGTCCTCTTTCCTTCATCTTCTCTTCTTCTGGTCGTTGTCCTCTTTCCTTCATCTACTCTTCTTCTGGTCGTTGTCCTCTTTCCTTCATCTTCTCTTCTTCTGGTCGTTGTTCTCTTTCCGTCATCTACTCTTCTTCTGGTCGTGGTCCTCTTTCTTTCATCTACTCTTCTTCTGGTCGTTGTCCTCTTTTCTTCATCTTCTCTTCTTCTGGTCGTTGTCCTCTTTCCTTCATCTTCTCTTCTTCTGGTCGTTGTCCTCTTTCCTTCATCTTCTCTTCTTCTGGTCGTTGTCCTCTTTCCTTCATCTTCTCTTCTTCTGGTCGTTGTCCTCTTTCCTTCATCTTCTCTTCTGGATGTTGTCCTCTTTCCTTCATCTTCTCTTCTTCTGGTCGTTGTCCTCTTTCCTTCATCTACTCTTCTTCTGGTCGTTGTCCTCTTTCCTTCATCTTCTCTTCTTCTGGTCGTTGTTCTCTTTCCTTCATCTTCTCTTCTTCTGGTCGTTGTCCTCTTCATCTACTCTTCTTCTGGTCGTTGTCCTCTTTCCTTCATTTTCTCTTCTTCTGGTCGTTGTCCTCTTTCCTTCATCTACTCTTCTTCTGGTCGTTGTCCTCTGTCCTTCATCTTCTCTTCTTCTGGACGTTGTCCTCTTTCCTTCATCTACTCTTCTTCTGGTCGTTGTCCTCTTTCCTTCATCTTCTCTTCTTCTGGACGTTGTCCTCTTTCCTTCATCTTCTCTTCTTCTGGACGTTGTCCTCTTTCCTTCATCTACTCTTCTTCTGGTCGTTGTCCTCTTTCCTTCATCTTCTCTTGTTCTGGTCATTGTCCTCTTTCCTTCATCATGACAAAAGCTGCTGGCTTTATTTATTAACAGAAACCTGTATTATTGATTACAATAAATGAAATGAATTAACCACAACTTGGGCTCTATCTTGTACCCGGCGCAAATGACTTTATAGACTGACGCATTTATCTTTCCTATTTTGCACGCGCGCAAAGTGGGTTTTTTTCCTCCACAGACGCACGTCAGTAAACTAGGAAATGAACTTGCGCTCCCTGGGCGGGTTGGCGCAAACAATCCCTGGTGCTATTTTGCAGTTCCAGAAAACAATTGCGCCAATGACCAGAAAAAACCTAGTCTTAAGTCAGCTGGTCGTTGTCCTCTTTCCTTCATCTTCTCTTCTTCTGGTCGTTGTCCTCTTTCCTTCATCTACTCTTCTTCTGGTCGTTGTCCTCTTTCCTTCATCTTCTCTTCTTCTGGTCGTTGTCCTCTTTCCTTCATCTTCTCTTCTTCTGGTCGTTGTCCTCTTTCCTTCATCTACTCTTCTTCTGGTCGTTGTCCTCTTTCCTTCATCTACTCTTCTTCTGGTCGTTGTCCTCTTTCCTTCATCTACTCTTCTTCTGGTCGTTGTCCTCTTTCCTTCATCTTCTCTTCTTCTGGACGTTGTTCTCTTTCCTTCATCTTCTCTTCTTCTGGACGTTGTCCTCTTTCCTTCATCTACTCTTCTTCTGGTCGTTGTCCTCTTTCCTTCATCTTCTCTTCTTCTGGTCGTTGTCCTCTTTCCTTCATCTACTCTTCTTCTGGTCGTTGTCCTCTTTCCTTCATCTACTCTTCTTCTGGTCGTTGTCCTCTTTCCTTCATCTTCTCTTCTTCTGGTCGTTGTCCTCTTTCCTTCATCTTCTCTTCTTCTGGTCGTTGTCCTCTTTCCTTCATCTACTCTTCTTCTGGTCGTTGTCCTCTTTCCTTCATCTTCTCTTCTTCTGGTCGTTGTCCTCTTTCCTTCATCTACTCTTCTTCTGGTCGTTGTCCTCTTTCCTTCATCTACTCTTCTTCTGTCCGTTGTCCTCTTTCCTTCATCTTCTCTTCTTCTGGTCGTTGTCCTCTTTCCTTCATCTACTCTTCTTCTGTCCGTTGTCCTCTTTCCTTCATCTTCTCTTCTTCTGGTCGTTGTCCTCTTTCCTTCATCTTCTCTTCTTCTGGTCGTTGTCCTCTTTCCTTCATCTACTCTTCTTCTGGTCGTTGTCCTCTTTCCTTCATCTACTCTTCTTCTGTCCGTTGTCCTCTTTCCTTCATCTACTCTTCTTCTGGTCGTTGTCCTCTTTCCTTCATCTTCTCTTCTTCTGGTCGTTGTCCTCTTTCCTTCATCTACTCTTCTTCTGGTCGTTGTCCTCTTTCCTTCATCTACTCTTCTTCTGTCCGTTGTCCTCTTTCTTCATCTTCTCTTCTTCTGGTCGTTGTCCTCTTTCCTTCATCTTCTCTTCTTCTGGTCGTTGTCCTCTTTCCTTCATCTTCTCTTCTTCTGGTCGTTGTCCTCTTTCCTTCATCTTCTCTTCTTCTGGTCGTTGTCCTCTTTCCTTCATCTTCTCTTCTTCTGGACGTTGTCCTCTTTCCTTCATCTTCTCTTCTTCTGGTCGTTGTTCTCTTTCCGTCATCTACTCTTCTTCTGGTCGTGGTCCTCTTTCTTTCATCTACTCTTCTTCTGGTCGTTGTCCTCTTTTCTTCATCTTCTCTTCTTCTGGTCGTTGTCCTCTTTCCTTCATCTTCTCTTCTTCTGGTCGTTGTCCTCTTTCCTTCATCTTCTCTTCTTCTGGT